TCAGAACTAAGGCTGCATTTAGTGCAACAGTTCTGCGATATAGATATTTTATTGATATTAGTTAAATGAATTCTGTTTGCATATATATTTATGCAAGATTGTTTATATAATTATGTTATGTTAAATCAAGAAATGGAACATTTTATATATTATAAAATAGACCACAATTTCTTTGCTTAAGAAAATTTTATATGCAAAAAGATTACTATTTTTGCACTAAAACAGGAAATCATACACAACTATACTTTCCTGTCCATTTGTATAGCTTGGAAATTAAATAAAATTTCAAAGTGAATCACTTTTTATGACCCCATTTTATCAAAAGTATCCACAACAGCCATTTCTCACTTGATATCTGAGGTACAACTAGAAATAAAATAACACAGTCCAGTGATATCATAATATTAACTGCTTTATTTATTATTATTCATAACACTCTTGTGTATGATGCATACACATTACAATAGGTGGACAAAATTTTCAAAACAACTGCAGTCAATTCACAGAACACAAACAGTGAAGGATAAAAATTGTATTCGTTCTTTCTGAGACGTCGTTGATTCCCCAAATAAATTTTCAAAATCTTTACCTAGAGTTTGCATACAAAAATTCATATTTGTACAAGAGGAAGCTTTAGACTGAGAGATAAATATCTGAATATCTTTTCAAACACTTGAATTTACAATTCTTCACCAAATGAAAATAGAAGGCTATTTTCATTGTGGCTAATAATTATCTGCGCCCTCTGCCCCTGCCCCTGCCCCTGCCACCCCTTCCGCCACGACCTCTGCCTCCACCACGGCCCCGTCCTCTGCCTCGTCCTCGCCCGCTATCCATCATGGCCCGTTGCTTTTCAACAAGGATCAGGGTGCTGCTGCAGAGATGCAACCTGTGGCTGTCAGCTGGCCATCTCTCAGTTTGGTTGAACCCTTTGGAGAAAAACACATCATTGTATATAAGCTCTCAAACAATCTCTTTGCTTGTTGTCTTTCCGTATTAACTATGGAAAAGCTTATTTAATTACATAAGAATTCCTTAAACATTACCTCTTTGTAGTCCACCGTCACAATCTGCGAGCCACAGTCTTCACAGGTGTCACTAGAACCTGCACCTTACTGGCCTTTTGGAAGATGTTAATGATGAATCACATCTGCAAATTGAAACATATACATCTTGTGCTGGGATGAATGAAAATTTACACAATTTTCTGTATAAAATAAATGCAGAAAGAAGACAGAATATATGACCAACAAAGTACAAATAAGCTCATGTGAAAATACTAAAAAAAAAATTATCAAAGTATATCCTTTTCTATTACACATTTTACAATGATTGAAAACATTTTTTTCATTAAAAGCATATATATACATCATATGTTTCTTTCAGAAAATCCGTACATATTTTGACCAGAAGAAGGAAAAAAACAAAAACAAAAAAAACATAAATACATATGTAAAGCATTCCTGCCACACTTAACTTATTGCAAGCTAGTTTCCACTTTGGCCCTGAAGCTGCATCCATCACTAGAATTCCTGAGGGACATTCCATACACTGAGATACACCAGTATTATCACGGCTGTATTCACAGGTTGGGTGAGAGCACAGGTTGCAACCACTTGCCTTCGCCATGTCTCTGGAAAATGAGTATGAAAAACAACATCAACATATATATTCCCCTTCATTTCATCTGGTTAACCCTCTAGCAACGGTCCATTTGAGAGCCGATAATCTGGTTCTGGGCAGTATCAAAATCGGCGCGTGGGCCTGTCTGGGAACCTGCCCGCATGCGCTCACCACAGCGACAAAATCGGAACGCGAGCTCCGATACTGACGGCCATGTTTATTTTTCCAGATGTCATATATATATATATATGCTGAATGAAATATAGTTTAACCCACTTGTGGCGGATGTCACATCCGCCACAAGTGGGTTAAACTATATTTCATTTCAGGATATATATTCACTTCACTGATTTTTTGAAGAAGAAGAAAAAAGGAAAAGACCATTAACCCAATGAATGCAGATTTATTTACTGTCCCTAGTATTTTTTTTGTGAATTTTGTTACATATAGATGGCTCCACATGTGCTCAGCCACCAAGGAGTCTATCAGTAGGATTTAATAACATTAAAAATAATCAAATAATACAAAAGAAGCTCTTCAAAAATTAAGGAAAAAGGTAAACAGGTGAGATAGGCTGGACTCATAACTGACTCCTTGCTGACAGCACTTGTAGAGCCACCCAAGTGTAAACACATTAAATGAACTTATATTACCATAAACATGGCATGTACTCTTGCCATCTAGGCCAACTGGATTAATTTCCATGTTTTACATAATGTTATTCATATCATTTCAGAATTCCAAAACAAAACCACTTGACAAATCCATGATTAGAAATGAAATACTTTAGTTGCAAAGTGATAATTTCAAGATGCTACGATGGAGGATTATCTTGATATTGCTAGTAAATGGGCATCAGCGGTTAAAATTTATAGTGATACAATCATTTCTATCACTGAGTAGAACCTACAGCTCCTGCAGCATAAAAAAGTATACATTTGTCAAAAGACTTACCAATCTACTTTTTAAAAAATTTTTATTCACGTCAAACTTTGTAATCCTCTTTGAAAAAAATGTGGTTGAATAATTCTGCCATTTCAATTTTCTAAAGCTATCAGAAAATCAAGTTTCATTTCATAACGTCAGATTTCATATTCTTATCACTTTCTTTACAGTCATTTTTAGCGCCACTGAGTATGGTCTAACCTTGTTCTTCAAATTTGAAACATCATATTACTCTATCTCCCACACTAAAATTTGCCCAAACCTAAGAAACTTGAGTGAAGACACTTGTATTTTCATGTGTTTGTTTGAACAATATAAAACTTAATATGATGCACGAGCTCTGAAATCCTTCACCTTACATCACTGTCTACTTATAGAATAAATTATATTAAACCATAATGGAGAGCAATATACCATAATGGAGAGTAGCGTGTTAAAAAGGCGAGTTACCAAAACCCAATTACCATAAAATCATTGTCAAACTAACAAGAACAAAAAAAATCCCAACAAAAGTAAGTGACTCACGGGAAGGGAGGATTGTTGTAACAGTAAGGGCAGAAGGTGAAGCTTTTCCCCTTGGCTCCCCCTGACCACATCAACAGCTGGTAGTCGTCCAGGGGACATCTGTTCTCATGAAATTCCCTTATGATCCCATTCTGGGGCACAGCGAAGGTCTCATCACAGTTTACACAGTGGAGTCGGATGGGCTTCGTTTCAACCAGCTTGATGTAGCGGCGACATTTCCCACATCTGTAAGTCATAATTATTATTATTGTTGTTTTTTTACTACATTTTTAATATTATTTCTTTTTCTTGCACAATTCTTCTATCCATTCTGATATATGTGCATAAAGTCAAAGTCTAAACATTGATGTTCAAGATTTATCAATTCTTACAGGTCCTAACTTGCTTTAAATTATTACACAAAACAACCTATATAAAAATTTACTTACAATTACAATCTATATTACAATTATTTGCAATTTATGCTTACAATAAGAATAATTACTAAAGCTCCACATGTATTATGTATAAGTATTTCATATGAACTGTAATTACTGTTGGGCAGAACAACAATAATAACAAGTCAAGCACAGGATTTCGACTCAGAAAAAGAGTAAGGAACAGTAATCACCTTGAAGAGGCCTTCCACTTGCAGATAACGGTGAAAATGAAACCTCAAACAACTCATCCATTCCTCCTATGTTATTAACGAAGTACTGGAACTTTAACTGGAAGATCTCCAGGGTGTGTCGTAAAACAGCATTGAAGTCAGCTTTACCTAAGGCAATAAGATTAAGCTGTTCCTCTACAGCACTCCTCATTGTAGGGAGTACTAAATCAGGATCAATCTGGAAATTTTCATCAACCAATGAATCAAAGTTTTGTAAAAAAAAAAAATAATAATAATAAAAAAAAAATATTAATAATAATAATAAAAAAAATAAATAAATAAATCTATTACATTAAGTTTTATACCACATATCACACTAAAATATAAATATGTTTGAATTAAATTTAATATGTAGTTGTACCTTCTGATAACCGTGGACAAGTACAATGCCAAGGCTGGTGGGTACTAATCTACGTCCTGAGGACACTTGAACGTAGTTCCGCTGGCAAATGTTATTAATGTGTACGGGAATTGATGCATCTGTGCCGATGCCATGCTTTTCCATCAGGCTGATCAACTCTGCTTCAGTCAGGTAATCAGGTGGGGATGTCTGTCGTTCAGATAATCTTGTCTGCAGAAGAATAATTTGTTTAATTTCAAAAGGCTGAGATAGTTTAAGAAACAAATACCTTCATTTAAACATGAGATGCAATGGAACATTGTGAAGAACCTCTTAACTTTTAAATCAAGCATTTATCCTCCCCGCCCCCTTAAAAAAAAAAAAAAAAAAAAATTAACACTTTCTATTCACAATTAACCCCTCAGTGATGGTACGTCTATAGCCATCATGACATAATCATGTATTATGTGTACACGCGTCATGACTTGATCTAGCAAGTGTGCAGTTTGGCCGGTTGTACACACCACAAACCCTGCCAGAAAGACTATACTGCTGCATAATAATTACAACACAGTGAATTATGGGTTGAATTGTATAAACTGTTGGTAAGTCTTAGTGTCATGAACATCCTTGGTTGGGCTAGGGCATTTGCTTCTTTCAAATGACTTCAGACTTGGCAGAGAAAGACCAAAGTCCTTCAAAAGTCCTTCAAAATAAAGCAGTATTCTAGGCTTTCTATGAAAAAGAAAAAAGTCAAACTCCTATGTAATTACTACAGGACCTGGAGCTCATATTTTCAATCCAACACTTCAGAAGAACAAAACTAATTTTACTTACCTCTAAGACGGCAAATTCATCACCAGATTTGACATCCGGTAATTTTTCCTCATCTTGTAAAGCTAGCCAATCCATCACCTGTTGGATTAATAATGAGAGAATAGTTAATAATTTTCTTATTGTCACAAGAACAATCTTCCGGTAAGAAACAATAGTGCTAGGTTTGTTTGTCATATTCTTACGGGCCAGCCACCAAACAACTGCATTACTAAGCTTGACTGTCAATTTCTAGAATAATTTCGGTGCTTATTAATGCTCTTTTATATTAAGAAGAACCCAAAAACTTGGTCATGATTTTTTCTTCTTCTTTAAAATTTGCTAATACAAATTTTTTGGGTCAAATGAAGGAACTCAGAAAGTCAAGAAATAGGAACAATTAAACTAACCTCTAAAATAAGAGCACTTTTGTCTACAAAATAAAAACTATTAACACACCAATGCAACAAAACACACAAATATAAACGCAAAGAAAAAAACGTTTAAAAGTTAGTATAAAACCAAGAAAATTATTTACCTTTGTGAAGCCAGGGTCAAGAAGCTGCTTTCCATTCACGCTGAAGTTCTCTGCTCCAATTGAAATACAGATGGTTGTACTGAGGTAGATACAGTCAGGCATCAGCTGTAATAAGACCATATATCTGTCAGCACAACAGCTAGCACTTTAAGG